TTATTGATTAGATAATCTGTGACATAAATAGTTGATTAGTTGTTAATAAAACATATTGATGTTTACTATAATTTGAGTAATATTAATAGCGGGATTACAGTAGTGATTACAATATATATGTAAATTTATTTTACAATATCTGACAACAAATTATACTTGCAATTTTAAATTTAAAAAAATTTCAAGTGTTAATTCTCGCGATTTTCAATATAATGATGATCTAATAATAATTTGAATAATATATAAACTAAAGTTTTCTAGACATTTTTGACTTATAATTTGTACAAAATAACAATAAGCAGTAATCTTATCTTATTGATACTTAATTTTATCTCTTAATTATGAAAGATTTTATCTCTTAATATGAAAGCAAATTCAAATATCAACGGTCAAAATGAAGTGACAGCGCCAACTGCGAACAACTTCAGAGTGTTAGGTACTTTGTTTAAATTAAATGCAAAAATTATTTTTAATACTTTTTCCCCCTAATAATATTTTCCCTAATAATACTTTTAAAAATGTTTTTAATGAATATATAAACTCATTGAAATTTTTTTTGGACATTTCTTCATTTATAATTTGCGCAAACATAAAAATAACAATAACAATAAACACATTTTATAAGATTCAAATTTAAACAGTTGACAGTACGAACTGCAAACAACTTCAGAGTGTTGGGTACTTTGTTCAATTTTAAATACAGTTAAAGTAGAATAATAGGATCAAAATTATTTTATGTTTTATATGTATTTAGTATGTATATGTATCAGTTAAAGTAGAATACTAGGAACAAAATTATTTTATGTTTTATAAGTATTTAGTATGTATCAACTATTACTTACACTGGTAAAATATAATCGGCTGACTTTATCTTTGAAAATAATACTGTAGGTGAAGAATCGTAGAATGGAAATTGGCCATAAAGCATTGTGTACAAAACTACACCCAAGGCCCACATATCGGAGGGTTTGCCATGATATGGATGGCCACATAGGACGTCTGGTGATATGTATGCTGGTGAACCTGAAGGTAAATAAATTTATTTTATATAATTGAACTATATAAAATTAATAAAAAAAAGCATGTGATAAGTATAACAAACCTCTTTGATCGTTTAACAAGTCACTTTCTCTTGATAAATGTTTTCCTAGACAGAAATTTGTTATTGTCACTTTGTTTGTTCTACGATTTAATACTAAATTGCCTAATTTTAGGTCACGGTGTACTATATTTTTCTGAAAAGACAAACGATTACAAAATTACACTTCATACACATCAATATATAAATGTATAATTATTTTTTATTTTTACCTTGTGTAAACTTTCAACTACACATATAACATTATAGAATATAGCAACGGCTGCCCGTTCAGACAATTTTTTCTCTCGTATCACATAATGCTGAAGATTTACTAAGGCTGCTGATTTTTCACTAAAATAGTAATAATAATTGATTAAGTTTAAATATATATATATATATATATATATTTATATATATATTTATATATATATATATATATATATATATATTTATTATTTTATTATTTATTTAATTTATATTTATTACCAAAAATCGTGTGGACTAATACAGTCTAATACTAAACACAGTCTTGTTTTCATTTTCCCTGAATAAATTGGTCCGAGGGTAGGATGCAGGACTTCTTCGGGTGTTGTATCCTAAAAAATAATAAAAAATGAAGTATATTTGTTAATTTAATTATGAATTGATATGTAACAAATTGTATTCCCGAAGTTAAAGTCATTCTGAATCGTTTAAGAACAAAATTGATTGCTAAAACGTCTTTACGAATTGCGAATTTAAAGTTTAACCCTTACTCAAGATAATTTGATTTCAGATTAAGTAGTTATAGATAATTTAATTAGTTTTCTAATGTTATATAATATTATATACATGTTTAAACCATTTCTTTAATATATTTCAAATTTGAATTTTAAATCTTAACGGTGGTTGTAAACGCGCGAACTTCACACTTGAAGTATTTTGTCCACTTTTCGGTGCAGTTATAATTATTTAGTACTTTAATTATTAAATAATGAGTATATTAATATATTATTAAATTGATATTTTGATTTATATATTTAATAAGTTAATGTATTCGCCTCCAAATGTATAAAATTTGGATTTTTGTAATATTTATGTAAATTTTAGTAATTTGAAATTTGAATCTTTGAATCTACGCACCAACTCACACTCTAAGTATTTTGTTTAAAATTTCCATGCAGTAATTTTGTTACTTATGAATTTATACATAACTTTACTATTTTTTAAATTATATATAATATTAATGTATTTAAATCGCTTCTCAGTAGATGCTTTTAAGTTGGCTCATCAGTAGTAGAGTTTCTTTTTTAATCTTTCTTGATCAAAATTACGTTTGAAATTTGTTTTTGCTTTATTTTGTTCGCCAGTAGAGTCAGTAGAGTCCCTTTTTTTCATCTTCTAGATCAAAGATTTCTTTGCTCATCAGTAGAATTCCTTTTTATTTTCTAGATCAAAATTCAGGTTGCTCGTCAGTAGAATTTTTTTTCTTATATTTTGGATCAAAATTCAGTTTGCTCGTCAGTAGTCTCTGTATCTTTCAGTATATAAATTAATTTACATTTCAGTAGAGACCTTATCTTCTAAAATCTAGATCAAAATTATGTTTGCTCGTCAGTAGAGTCCATTTCTCAATCTTCTGGGTCAAAATTTCGTTTAGTCTTTAGTGGAGTCCTTTTTTATCTTCTGGATCAAAATTACGTTTTCTCGTCAGTATCATCCTTTTTCTTATAATGTATATCAAAATTTAATTTTTGCTCGTCAATAAAGTCCCGTTTTTTCTCCTAGATAAAAATTGTGTTTGCTCGTCAGTAGAGTCCCTTTTTATAAATTAGATTAAAATTTAATTTACTCGTCAGTAGAGTCCCATTCTTAACTTCTAGTATAAAATTAATGTTTGCTCGTCAGTAGAGTCCTTTTTTGTTTTATAATATATCTTGTTTTGTTTTGTTGCTATTTCAACTAACATATTCAAAAAGGCTCATTGAGACCTTTTAAATGACACCCCACATCATATAAACACATTTTTGACCCACTTGTACTATTTATAGTATATGACAACCAAACTCATTGTGCTTTATTTATTAAATCTTTTGTAACTTCCAAACCATTCCCTTAATATTGACGATGTATTTAGGAAATTTATGCAGAATAAATTATAAACAACATTGTCTAATATTATAACAGTCTACAGCAACTCGGTATAGTAATAAATGGGAAATATAGTTAGAAACAATATTTAAACCTAACCTTCATTGACTTAGTATGAGAATTCATTTAGTGTGCATTTATTTATTAAATCTCTTGTAACTTTCAAACCGTTCCATTAATAAGAATGATGTATTTAGGAAATTTGTGCAGAATCAAAATTATAAACAATATTGTCTAATATTATAACAGTCTACAATAACTCGGTATAGTGATAAATAAGAAATATATTAAATTACACTTACAATAGCTTTCATTGACAAAATATTAATAATAAACTAATGAACTATAATAAATGCTGAATTATAGTAACGATTTTACATATTTATAAAGTGCTCATTGAGACCTTTTAAATGACACCCCAATGACATGGATTTACTTCATACAAACACATTTTTGGTCCTCTGTACTTTTTATAGTATGACAACCTAGCTTTCATTTACGAACTAAAAATGAGTTCTAAAATTATTCTAATGTTACCTTGAATAAACCATGATGATGTACAACACCTTCTTGATTCGATAACAAAGATAACAAAGAATATTCTGTATGCAAAAGCATCTTGCCTTGCCGGTCGTCTTGATTTTCTTCCACAATATTATCAGCCATCATCAGAATCTTAAACACAAAATAATGCACATAACATTCTTCACAAAATACATTTAAGACATATAAATTTCACTTACTTTTATTAAATAAAATTTATCAGTATTATCCTTCCTCGCCAAGCACTGCACAATGCTCTTAACAGGACTCGACCCAAGTTTGGGGCCCAGCAAATAATCCCCGGCTCGTCTCAGTATATGTTTAGGCACAGGAGTCCCGTAAGGGGGCGCTAGGTCTTGAGCATTTTTTAATTTATCTTTATCGTTTATCAATTTTGTTGGTTCACATACGGGCACTTGTTGAGACTCGTTTGAATCTGTGTTTTTGGTACATTCTGTTGTATCTAGTCTCATTAGTAGGTCGGAGTTAAGGGACTTGTATTGCTCCATTGTAATAGATTAATGATAATTAGTAATTAGAATGATGAAATAAGCTTGAAATGTTGTTTATTTTGGGTGTACACGAATGTATTTGACGTTTGGTAATTGACAGTTGTTAGTCGTCCATCTTGTGAAATGGAAATACAAATTTTTAATATCTGAAATAGAAACCGCAATTTAAAATTGTGTAAAGGTGTAATAATTAGTAGGTGATTATGTTTAATTGAGTTTCAAATTAAATTGTTCATTTCTAATTAATTTGTGACATAAATCGTTTTGGACAGCTGACAGTTGAGTTGACAGGTTGTAGTCGTCCATTTTGAAAATGCAAATAGACATTTTTGCATTTAGAAATAAAATCATTTTCAAATATTCTTTATGTGTACTATTTAATGTGTGATTATAATTAATTAAGTTAAAATTATTGTTCAGTTTTAATTAATATTTTACAAGAAACGCTTCTCAGTTGACAGTTGAAGGTTGACAGTTTGTAGTCGTCCATCTTGAAATTTTAACACATTTTGCATTTAAAATAAAAACATAAAAACCACTGTTTTATTTATAATATTAATAATAACAATAATTTCATGTTTCATAACTATATTACACAAAATAATTATTCATATAAGTTACTTTTTAATGTTTTTCGATTTTTGTGACATTTTGTTATGACGATTTTCTTATTCGTAGATGCTGGCAACACTATACAAAACTGAAATGTCAAGAAAGAGCAAGATAACCTAAAACTATTTTGGATTCACGTGTTAACATTTGCTTATAAAACATATTGCTAGAAACAATATAATATATTACTAAAGTTCTGTTGAAGTTAGTAGAGTAGTTGATATTATAGTGAATCTATTTCGTTGGTGTGCTTAAATATATTTGATATATTTTAAATATAAAAATATGGCAACTACTACAGTTGTTAAAGGAAAGCCTAAATCTGGACGTTCTTGGAAATCTGATAGAGATAGGTAAGAAATGTTATAAAATAAGTAAAACTAAGCAATAAGTAAAAGCCTATCTTGATACAAATATGAGTTTTAAGCATTTGTCAATTTACAAAATATTCTAAGATCACTAACCATATATCGTTTCTTAATACAATTATGGTTTGTAGAAGATAATTCATTGTTAGTTTGGATAATCGACAATGCTATGATAAGCATCAAAGTGATTTATCGGCTCAGATAATATAATATTGCATCAAGTCTTACATAGGTCTCCTATAAGTGAGAAATAATTCTCGTACTATGTACAATGTCAATGAAAGCTAGGTGTAATGTCGTTTCTAATTATATTTCTCATTTATTACTATACCGAGTTGTTGTAGACTGTTATTTTATTAGACAATATTGTTTTTAATTTAATTCTGTACAAATTTCCTAAATGCATCATTCATATTAAGGGAACGGTTTGAAAGTTACAAGAGATTTAATAAATAAATGCACACTAAATGAATTCTCATATTATATACAATGTCAATGAAAGCTAGGTGTGAATGTCGTTTCTAATTATTATATTTCTCATTTATTACTATACCGAGTTGCTGTAGACTGTTATAATATTAGACAATATTGTTTATAATTTAATTCTGCACAAATTTCCTAAATACATCATTCATATTAATGGAACGGTTTGAAAGTTACAAGAGATTTAATAAATAAATGCACACTAAATGAATTCTCATATTATATACAATGTCAATGAAAGCTAGGTGTGAATGTCGTTTCTAATTATATTTCTCATTTATTACTATACCGAGTTGCTGTAGACTGTTATAATATTAGACAATATTGCTTTTAATTTAATTCTGCACAAATTTCCTAAATACATCATTCATATTAATAGAACGGTTTGAAAGTTACAAGATATTTCATGAATAAATGCACACTAAATAAATTCTAGCACAATGTACAATGAAAAACTTGTGTCAATGAAAACTTGGTGTAAATGTCTTTTCTAATAATATTTCTCATTTATTACTACCAAGTTGCTGTAGGCTGTTATAATATAAGACAATATTGTTTATAGTTTAATTCTGCACACATTTCCTAAATACATCATTCATATTAATGGAACGGTTTGAAAGTTACAAGAGATTTAATAAATAAATGCACACTAAATGAATTCTCATACTAAGTCAATGAAGGCTAGGTTTAAATGTCGTTTCTAATTATATTTCTCATTTATTACTTTACTGAGTTGATGTAACCTGTTACAATATTAGACAGTATTGTTTATAATTTAATTCTTCACAAATTTCCTAAAAACATCATTCATATTAAGGGAACGGTTTGGAAGTTACAAAAGATTTAATAAATAAATGCACAATGAAGAATTGTCATACTATAAATAGTACAGCGGGTCAAAAATGTGTTTGTATGATGTGGGGTATCATTTGAAAGGTCTCAACGAGCACTTTTTAAATATGTTACTTGAAATAATAACAAAACAAAAGGATTCCTCGTTTTTTAAGTTGTAGAATGAAAGCATGGAATTATTAAATTTTATCTAACGGTTTATATTGTGTAGAAGATGTTTTGAACTAAAGTGTGCATTTTAAAAATGTGGTTCAAGATAAATTTGTTGTGTATTCTATGACACGTTAACATTACATATATATATTTTCTTTGGTCTTTGTGTTAAAATTCAATAAGTTACTCTTAATTCTTTACACAAACTACAAAATGTTTTAATATTCAGTTCATTATGTTAATAATGAAACACGCAGTCATCATTTATTTCCTAATTTCATTATTTTTACTCTAGCAGTTTTGAATATAAGTCGAGTACAGTATATTAATGTATACCATCTATCATTTATCCCTTTCCCAGGTTTTCCTCAGTCAAGAAAACAAAAGGCATCCGCAAATCCTTTGAAAAGAAGCAAATTCTTCGTCAGGAATTAAAACGCACAAAAGAAGCCTCTAGAGCAATTTTGCAAAAAAGACAAGAAGAAAAGGAAGAAAAAAGAAAAAGGCGTGAAGAAAATTTAAAGAGGCAAGAAGAAAATAGGAAAAAGGCTGAAATCGTACAAGTTATTAAAAATGTTGCTAAAATCAAGAAAATGAAGAAGAAACAGCTGAGATCCATCGAGAAGAGGGATACGCTGAATATGTAAAAAGAATGGTTGGTGTTAAGTTTTATTTATAAAGACTCTTTATAAGGAATTTTCTTTATAAAGATGAGTCTTCAAGGGCTTATATGCAGTGTTACATAATAGTTATGTATTGATAAGTTTTGTAAATAAATAATAAATTTCATATAAATTTAATCTTTAATATCACATTTTTAAAATTTATTGGAAGTTGAGTTGTATTTTAATAATTTTACAAATTATAAATGTTTGTAAAAAGCATTTTTTATTTTATTTAGGGAAATATACGCGTTTAAAGATTTTTTCTAAATATATTTGAAATTTGAATTTTAAATCTTAACGGTGGTTGTAAACGCGCGAACTTCACACTCGAGGTATTTTGTCCACATTTACGTGCAAGCAATTCTTATTGTTCAAGAGGTAATTAAATGTTTAATTAAAGTCTTTTGAAAGTTGAGTTAATTTTTAATAATTTTGGAAATGGCATTATAAACGTTTGTGTAAAAAAACATTTTTTATTTAGGACAAATTTTAATTCCAGCATTAGGAAATCCTGAAGTTTGTTTTACCACAAAATTTGTATGTTTATTCTTTCGACGTTTCAAGTCGTTCTGAATCGTTTGAGATCAAAATTGCGTAAAAATATGTGTGTCAAAATTAGTCGATGTTTTTTCAAAAACGGCTGCTCTGTTTTTAAACATTTAAAAGCCATTCGATGTAACTTGATAAGGTTTTGCGGTGATTAATTTTGTGCGTCTGACTAGTATAGTACTTGCTATAAATTTGTGATGATTCTTAAATATAGGATTTTTATTTGTTCGTTAGTAGTGTCCCTGATAAATTTCCTTAGTTTGCTCTTCAGTAGAGTCCCTTTACTTAATTTTTCATTTGGTTCTCTCATTAGTGGAGTCCCTTTCTTTAATTTTTTACTTGGTTCTCCTATCAGTAGAGTACCTTTCAATTTTCTTTTTATTAATTTCTTACTTAGTTTGCTCGTCAGTAGAATCCCTTTTCTTAATTTCGTTTTGGTTTGCTCATCTGCAGAGTCCTCTTTTTTAATTTCTTTTTGGTTTTCTCATCTGCAGAGTCCCTTTTTTAAATTTCTTTCAAGTTAGCTTGTCAGTAGAGTCCCTTCCTTTAATTTTATTTGGTTTGTTTATCAGTAGTCTCGTTTCTTAATTTCTTTTTAGTTTGCTCATCAGTAGAGTCCCTTTCAATATTCTCTTTAGTTTACTCGTCAGTAGAGTCCCTTCCAATTTTCTTTATAGTCAGCTAGTCAGTCAAGTCCTTTTTTAACTTTTTTAACGTCAGTAGAGTCTCTTTATTAATTTCTAACTCGGTTCGCTCGTCAGTCCCATTCCTTTTTTAATTTCTTACCTGGTTTTCGTGTCAGTAGAGTCCCTTTTCCCATTTTTTTAGTTTGCTCGTCAGTAGAGTTTGTTTTCTTAATTTTTTACTTGGTTCTCTCGTCAGTAGAGTCCCTTCATTAATGTTTTACCTGTTTCTCTTGTCATAGAGTCCCTTATAATTTTCATTTTAGTTGCTCCCGTTCAATTTTCTTTTTGATTTGTTCGTCAGTAGAGTCCCTTTTCTTAATTTTTCACTTGGTTCTCTCGTCACTAGAGTCCCTTTTAATTTTCTTTTCTGTTTGCTCGTCAGTAGATTTCGGTTTTCTTAATTTTTCACTTGGTTCGCTCGTCATAGAGTCAGTTTCATTTTTTTTAGTTCGCTCGTCAGTAGTAGAGTCCCTTTTATTAATTTTTTACTTGATTCGCTCGTCACCAGAGTCCATTTCAATTCTTCTGTCCAAAATCAATTCAAACAATTGCTTTTGAGAATAAAAAATGATTACATCTTTTTTTAATTCTCATAAAATATTTTTGTAATTTTGGATTAAAAATACAAAAACTTACCTAGGCTAAGCACAGTCTAAGCGCCACTCTGGTGCAAATGTTTACCCAAGTGCGTTCAGACTGTTTATGTACTGGAGCAATTTTCCAAGTTTGTGAAGAAAACTATTGAGAAATGTGAAAATGCCGCCAAGCTAAGCACAGTACAAGTGAAAATGTCGCACAGAATTATTTGCAAATGCGTTTAGAGACTGAGACTGTACGGGAGCACTTTTTCAATTTTGTGTAAATTAGACAACTATTTTTTTTTTGAAATTGAATTCGAAATGAAATGACGATTGTTAATGATCCGGAGATAAATTGATTTATGATTTATGATTTACATTTGATTTGCTCAGATATAACAATAAGATAGCAAAAATAATGAAAGTACTGTAAGTATTTGTAATAATATATTTGAAAACATTTAAAATTTCTCGAATATTTCATTACGGTGCGGGAAGTTCCAGCAATTTGCCTCAAGGCACGATGCCATTCAACACTAGTTTGTTCTCATTTCATTTAGTCAAATTAATCGGGTTTATTTTCTATATTATATATATATATATATATATATATATATATATATATATATATCAATTTTGTCTGGAATTGAACCTTTACGTGCTACGGTCGGTGGTGCTGAAAGAATTAAAATTGATGTAATGTGAAAGCGGCCGTGTTTGCCATCTTTTTATACTTGTTTATCTATGAGCCATGATAAATAAATTGATAAATCCATTTATTAAGACTTTCTTTAAAAATACACATTATGAGGTGAAAGCAAAATCTTTACAACCCCTACCAAAAAGACTTTTCCACTCGAAGTTCCATTCCTTATCAGGCAAATAGACACAACTATTTTCGCCCAAAGAATCAAACAGACATCGAAAGGGCTTATAAGTTCCAAACCGTCTGGCCGTCTCCTATCATAATCAATTTACAGTTGGCCCTTGTAAGGGCCGCAGTCAGTCTTCCTTTGTCGTTTAAGATTTCTCTACTACTAGGACGGCGCATAAATACATGTGCAAATGATAATGCACATGAGTATATTATGATATCTTTGTCTCTGCCTTGGAATTGCTCCACTGTGCCGATTTCGATAGAGGAGGAGGATGTAGAGTTCTGTTGTATTAACTTTTGAATCAATTGGACTTGTATGCGGTATGTGGATATTATGCCGATTTGGTCGGCGGTTATTCCAACCTGGAAATAAAAGAAAGTGGATTAAATATTATTTACAACATTTTAAAACTATCTGAAAATGTTGTAACTTGTCTAAATGTGTTGTAAATTGCAGAGAATGTTTTAAATTGTCTGAAAATGTCGTAGATTGTATAAAATTTTGGAAACATTTTACAATAATTTCAGACACTTTAAAATCTTTTCACATAAATAAGGCAACATGCAACTTACAACTGGTTTACCATACTAACCTTTAACAAAGCATTGACAATGCAGACAGCAATTTTAGCCTCGCAAATATTCACACACGGATTTACGATATTTTTATCTTTCAGAACCAAACCTAAATCCACCAAGTCATCATAATATTTTGACCAAGTCTCACTAGTATCAATAAACTTCACAGAATCCTTTAAATCATCACTTATCACATCATACAACCACTTTTCACTCGAAAACTCATCACGAGCCAAAGATTTATTAATCGTAATAGTCCGAGAGCTGACTTGTTCGTCTGCACACTTCAGCAAACCGTTGTAGGTGAATTTATTGGCTAACGCTGTTATGATGGAGTTCATACGATACTGGATGGTGAGTAGGACTTTGTTGTCAGGGTTTGAGGCACCAAGTTGTTCGAAGAGGCTTTTGTCGAATCCTAGAGCCTTAGCGTCTTTGCTTCGGACAACCGGAGGCAATTGTTCGGGATCGCCTATTAAGACAAATTTATCAGCGCTGAAAAGTGGACGCAAAATTGTGCATTGCAGGACTTGGGTGCTTTCGTCGACTATGCACAAGTCGAAACGTTTTTGTGCAAGCACAGGATGAATCGAGCCTAAGCAAGTTACACCGACGACTTTTGCAGAGTTGTACACCTTAACCAGTTGCTCCACTGTGGTACATTTGGAGGTTAGACACTCTTCGCTCTTGGATTGGATTTTGGGGTTTATACGCTTACTTGTGCCCAGTCTTAGGAAATCCACACCGGCCTCGTGCAGTTTCACCAACACATTGTCGACTGCCGAGTGCGTGTGGCTGGTGATCAACACGGTTTTTGTCCAAAGACACCAGCAATTTAATCAGGGCGACGACTGTTTGGGTTTTGCCCGTACCGGGCATACCTTGAATTAATAAATAGTCTTGTGTGGTTAAGACTTTTAACACAGCACGTTGTTGTAAAGTGTTCAAGTGCTTTAAGGTATCAGCAGCTTTTTGTTTGGTGGTACTGGATAACTCAGCATCGAACTTTGGTGCCTCCAAATCGATAATCAAACGTCTAAGTTTACCCACGTATTCCGTATCATCGATAAACGTTGCAAGATTTGCGGAATTAAGTGTGAGCATTTGCAAGCTTGTGTGTAAATCCACATTAAACAAACAACTTTCAAACAAAACTGATACGTTTTTGGATAATGTGATGAAAATCTTGTTCGGGGTAAGGGATTGTATAAAGCCTGCGTCAACGTGATGTGTCTGAGTGGTTATCATTACGTAATCACCCGGAGTGAAATTTGTGTGCATTTGTTTGTTTCGGCCAAAACAATGTAAAAAGGAGCCTTCGTGCTGGACGACTTCACCTTCGATTTTTAAACCACTTGCACAAATACCTGTAAGTTCACAATACTCTACAGACCTTGCAGTCAATCCTGAATCGTCCATGCAGTTTTCTAGGTACAAAAGTTTACACCAGGTGAAGAAATAATCTAAATGCTTCTGTGTTAAATGTTCCAAAGCTTGTTGGGATATTTGTTTGAAATTATTTGGTTGTACATATGTCGATTCGGGCAAATCTGTTAAGTGTCCACTTTTATCTTTAATATATTTCCTGATGTTTTTCTGACTCGTATGCAAATTTTTCTCGTTCCTCAGCATTATCAAATCACGTTGTTCGTTCCACGTAGGCTTCACATCCTTAACAACACCCTCACGCAAATACAACAACAAACCTTTATCCACATCCACACCTAATTCCTGCAACATCATTACGTACAAAATTACCTGGCTTTTGTGCTCCGGGGAAAAACTTGGACGTCCCACCTTCAACTCCAACGGAACACGTTTGTGCAACGTAACTTTACACGTGACATCAATTTTACCTTTTAAGCCTAACGAAGGCACCCATAAGTTCTCCTCGATATCCATAACCTCCACAGGCTTCTTGGACATAACCTCGACAATCTTAGGCACAAACTTATCAATCTCACCATTAATCTCCTCGCTCGTCAGTTGTGAACGATACAACATCTGTATCGTACTAGACTTTTGCATTATCCCTTTCCACAGGTTACGTACAAACTCATCATCAACTTTGGTATTTTGTATGCAACTTTGGTACAACTCATGCACAAGTGATTTGATGGTCATGATTTTACTCCCGTTGTCGATTCTTTTGTACATTTCACTCAAACTTCCTTTGTATTCCCATAAACTTTTCTTTGATATTATTGAGTAGTTTTCGGTTACAATAATGCCGTAGGTTGCGTTTACAATCCATTTATTGTTATTGTATAAGGCTCTTATGGATATATAATCACCTCGTTGTAAAGAGAGTTGGGACCAAGGGAATGATACGGTGCACCATGATTTTTCGGAAGAGTAGTTTTTAGAGCTTTGTAGATGTATACACTTTGTGTTGCCGCTTGTATTTACATGCAATATGACACAACGTTGGATGGTGGATAAGTTTAAGGTATCTTGTGGGACCCAGTCTGCGTTACACAAAATCGAATCAAAGTCATCGTCTAGTAAAAAATCTTGCAAACAATTTTCTTTGTCCTGGATGTCCAGTTTCAAATGCTTTTTATCATCGTGAGGAACTTGTAGAGACATCTTTCTCTTTTTTGTATTCGACAAGTCATCACCAGATTTGTTGGGACTTTCTTGGAGCTTGTTCTTAACTTTTGCTTCAGAATTATTTTTATCATCATCTTCTTTTTGTTTAACATTGCTTGTTGTATTATTTGTAACAAAATTATTAGAAATTTTATTTTTAGACTTGCCAAATTTTTCATTATTCATATTGATCAAAATACATACATATATATTAAACTTATTGCTATATATACATTTATAATATTAAATACTTCAAACAATTACATTTGTAACAAATGACAAATGCTATTTGTATATTAATTGTACTTAAAAGGAAAACTTCTAACCTCTATCCTTGTGTCAATCAATTTTGGTCACCTATTAACAATCACAAAGTATATAATTTCTAAACACAAAATTAAAGGCACGGCATGCTGTTTATGTCTTGTCATTATTTTTAACACTTTAATATATTTTTGTGCTTGAAATTATTAATTATTCATATTAAAACTTAACCTGACGTTTGTTTGTTTTTAGCACCATTGTTTTGTTAGAAACTGTCAAAACCGATGGCTTGACAATTCAATGCAAGCGTCGCCAACTTCAGGTGCGTTTATTTGACAGATAATTTTGTAGCGCGCGATTCAAATTTAAATGTACAACATTTTAAGTTTAAAATACTCGAATAAGATTTACGGTGACAAATTTTGTGTGACGATCCGTCGAGTCGTTTCTTTGTATTTAGCGTATCAGTGCAACAATGTAAGAAAAGACACTCAAGAAATTAATGTCTTTGGTTATAAATATTCAGTTCAACATTTTTTTTTAAACAATTTTGTTCTAAGAGATTTAAATTGTTATACACATACTTATAGATAATTTAAAGAAAATAAATATGAATATAAACCAATCAGTTGTAGCTAAAACAATGTGACCGCCTTGCGAAGTCTTCAATGTTTAAGTTCAACGATTTTTTTTTACATAATTTTGTTCCGACATATTCAAATTGGTAAATACAGATTTATAGATAGTTTTATCTACTTTTTAACTATATATTACAATATACAAAAATAAATAAGTATTTTAATAAAATAATGCTAAATATAAAAATAGGTAACCACCAATAACTAGAGACTAAAATTTCAAATTTCACATATTCTTCGAATTTAATTTTGTTCTATAAGTTCTTAAACGTTATATACCAATTTAGAGATAATTTATATTTATATTATATTTATAACAATATGCAATATTATTGTTAATACGTAAATCTTGCAATTAAATATTACACATAAGCAATTTTTGGTTTCATTTTCTTAAATTTGAATTATTTGCTAAAAAATTCGTTAAGACTTTTAAATATCGCTATATATCACTAAAAACATTATTATATTGTGTATGAATCTGTATTTATGGCTTACATAATTTTGGAACAAAATTCACTCAAACTTTGAAATTTAATTTCATCCATTTAGTTCGTCATACTTTTTTGAATTTGTGTTATTTGTCACAAATTTGATTAAACTATAATACATTTTTATTTATCAATACGCTCAATAATAATATAATAAGCTCAATAAATTGTCTATAAATTTTTAGTTTTGTTGAGTTTAGTTGGAATAAAATTATTTATAAAAAAATCGGGAATTAAATAGTATCAGTACGTAAAATTTAAATTTTACACATTTTACTTGCATAATTTTGTTTGAAAAGTTTTAAAACGTTATATACAGATGTGTAGATAATTTTATTAGCTTTCTAATAATATATAATATTAATGTTAGATTTTAATTATTTATAATAATATTAACGTGGATAAAAAAAAATGCAACCGATAAAACTAATACTATAATTCAACATTTGTTTAAAAGACATAATTTGGAAATTTCATCTTTAATGAAAACGAAGACTTTATATTTAAAATAAATAGTTTCTCGGAAAACATTATTATCGTAATATGAAACTAGCTAAATCTCAACTTATACTGATTTACTCGATTAATGTTATTTACACATATCTGGAAATTAATGCATAAATAATAATGCAACTTGCTTAAAATTTCACACTTAGTTTATTCTTAAATATAAATATACACATTTGTAGATAAATCAATTAACTTTCTATTGATATGTAAATTATTCATTAAGCTCAAATATTGAAATCAAATATAAAAAATGCTCCTTTAGCAAATTTGTACCAAATAGAATAAACAGAAATAGTTTCTGACATAATAATATCGATAAACTTATAAATCACCTATAAAGTAATATATAGATTTTTTATTCATCTTGCATTAAAACAAAATGCCACTTACACCTAGATAATTAACAATATTTCAAACTTATTATTTTTAATATATGAATTTGAATTTCGCGCTACAAAACTATCAAGAGAACCCACCTGAAGTTGGCGACACTTTTATTCAACTGTCAAGCGTGCAGTTTTGACAGTTTCTAACAAAACAATGATGCTAAACACAAACGAGCGTCAGGGTTAAATTTAACATAAAAACTATTAAATTTAAACGTAAAAAAGACGTTAAATAACTTATAATAACAATGCCAAGGGTTAAAGAGTATATTACAATTATAAACGCGTGCAGTTTTTGTGTAAAATGTATGTATTTAGTGATTGTTAACAGGTGAACCTAAAACATTTGACACAAGGGTAAAATTGTAAGAATTTTTTTAAAACGCTTTTTTGTCTAAGTGTTATATATTTTATTATACAAGTTGTACGAGGTTTTGTATTAGATATGGCAATGGACCTTTAGTTTGCTAGCACTGCTCGTGCCAAATTTTGGCGCACTTTTATTTGTCACTTGTTGTAATTGTAATATTTTTAATATTATAAATGTATATGTTGCAACAAGTTTAATATAAATGTATGTATTTACTCAATATGGATAATAAAAAAAACAGCAAGTCTAAAAATAAAATTTCTAATTATTTTGTTAAGAATAATACAACAAGCAAAGTTAAACAGAAAGAAGATGATGATAAAAATAATTCTGAGACAAAAGTCAAGAACGTGCTCCAAGAAAGTCCTAAGAAGTCTCCTGATGACTTGTCGAATACAAAAAAGAGAAAGATATCTCCACAAATTCCACTTGATGACAAAAAGCACTTAAAACTTGACATCGAGGATAAAGAAAATTGTTTGCAAGACTTTTTGCTAGACGATGATCTAGATTCATTCTTGTGTGAGGAAGACTGGGCCCCACAAGACACCTTAAACTTATCCACCACCCAACGTTGTATCATTTTACATGTAAATACAACCGGCAACACAAAGTGTATACACCTGCAAAGCACTACAAACCCATCCGATAAAGCATGGTGCACCTTATCGTTCCCCTGGACCCAACTCTCTTTACAACCAGGCGATATAATATCCATAAAAGCCTTAAACGACAACAACAAATGGATCGTAAACGCAACCAACGGTCTATTAGTAACCGATCCTGACTCCCTTATATCTGGTACAAGTGTCGTTGGTGGTTTATTTTGTGCACGCAAAGGAGTCTTGAGTGAAATATACAAAGGCATCGACATCGAGAGCAAAATCATGACCATCGGATCACTCGTGCATGAGCTGTACCAAAGTTGCATACAAAATACTAAAGTTGATGATGAGTTTGTACGTAACGTGTGGAAAGGGATAATGCAAAAAAGTAGTACGATACAGATGTTGTATCGTTCACAACTGACGAGCGAGGAGATTAATGGTGAGATTGATAAGTTTGTGCCAAAGATTGTCGAGGTTATGTCCAAGAAGCCTGTGGAGGTTCTGGATATCGAAGAGAACTTATGGGTGCCTTCGCTTGGTTTAAAAGGTAAAATTGATGTTACGTGTAAAGTTACATTGCACAAACGTGTTCCGTTGGAGTTGAAGACAGGACGTGCTAGTTTTTCCCCGGAGCACAAGGGACAGGTAATTTTGTACGTAATGATGTTGCAGGAACTAGGTGTGGATGTGGATAAAGGTTTGTTGTTGTATTTGCGTGAGGGCGTTGTTAAAGATGTGAAGCCTAGGTGGAACGAACAACGTGATTTGATAATGCTGAGGAACGAGATAAATTTGTATACGAGTCAAAAAAACGTTAGGAACTATATTAAAGATAATTGTGGGCGCTTAACGGATCTGACTCGCTTAAGTATTGATTTGCCTGAACCCATAAATCATCGTGCGTGTGAAACTTGTCCGTATTTAACTTTATGCTCGGCGTATCTACAACCTAAAACTTTACCGGATAAACATAATTTAACACTATTATCACAACCAGCTTTGGAGCATTTAACGCAAAAGCACTTACAATATTTTTTCACCTGGTGTAAACTTTTGTACCTAGAAGACTGCATGGACGAGTCTACAAACAACAATTGTGGACAAAGTCTGTGGAGCATCGTGAACTTACACGTGGTTGTGTCGGTGGTTTAAAAATCGATGTAAAGTCGTCCAGCACGAAGGCTCTTTTTTACATTGTTTTGGGCGGGGTAAACAATACACACAAATATCACTCCGGGTGATTATGTGATAGTAAGCACTCATAAACGCTACAACGTTGCCGCAGGCTTTATACAAACCCTGAGCCCTACCAAAATTTTTATACGATTGTACAAAAACTTGACGAATTTGTATAAAACCAACCAAGAGTTTTGTTTGGACTTATACTCGAGTAATACGCAATTTACATTTAATACGACGAATTTAGGGACTTTGCTTGATGATACGGAACACGCGGGAAACTTAGGCGTTTGATTATCGATCTAGAGGCACCAAAGTACGATACTATTTATCCAGTACCATCAAACAAAAGCTGCTGATACCTTAAAGCACTTAAACACTTTACAACAACGTGCTGTCTTAAAAGTCTTAACCACACAAGACTATTTATTAATCCAAGGTATGCCCGGTACGGGCAAAACCCAAACAGTCGTCGCCCTGATTAAATTGTTGGTATCTTTGGACAAATCTGTGTTGATCACCAGCCACACGCACTCGGCAGTCGACAATGT